TGCTTGTCCTGCATACAGGTTTCTCAGGAGGCAGGTAATGTGGTCTGGTATTCCCATCTCATTAAGAATATTCCACACTTTGTTGTGATCCACACAATCAAAGGCTTTGGCATAGTCAATGAAACAGTAGATTTTTTTTGGGGGGGGGTTCCCTTGCTTTTTCTGTGATCCAGAGTATGTTGGCAATTTGACCTCTGGTTCATCGCCTGTTCTAAATCCAGTTTGTACGTCTGTAAGTTCTCGGTTCACATACTGCTGAAGTCCTAGCCTAAAGGATTTTGAGCATAATCTTGCTGGCATGTGAAATGAGTGCAATTGTATGGTAATTTGAACGTTCTTTGGCATTGCCTTTCTTTGGGATTGGAATGAAAACTAACCTGTGGCCACTGCTGAGTTTTCCTAATTTGCTGGCATATTGAGTGCAGCTCTTTAATAGCATCATCTTTCAGGATTTGAAATAGCTCAGCTGGAATTCCATCACCTCCACTAGCTTTGTTCATAGTGATGCTTCCTAAGACCCACGTGACTTCACACTCCAGGATGTCTGGCTCTAGATGAGTGATCACACCATCGTCGTTTTCTGGGTTGTGAAGATCTTTTTTGTACAGTTCTTCTGTGTATTCTTGCCACCTCTTAATCTCTTCTGCTTCAGTGAGGTCCTTGCTGTTTCTGTCCTTTACTGTGCCCATCTTTGCATGAAATGTTCCCTTAGTATCTCCAGTTTTCTTAAAGAGATCTCTAGCCTTTCCCATTCTGTTGTTTTCCTCCATTTCTTTGCACTGATCACTTAGGAAGTCTTTCTTATCTCTCCTTGCTATTCTCTGGAGCTTTTCGTTCAGTTGGGTATATCTTTCCCTTTCTCTTTTGCCTTTCGCTTCTCTTCCTTTCACAGCTATTCACAGCTATTTGTAAGGCCTCAGACAACCACTTTGTCTTCTTGCGATTTCTTTTTCTTGGGGATGGTTTTGGTCACCACCTTCTGTACAATGTTACGAGTCTCTGTCCATGGTTCTTCAGGCAGTCTCTCTCCCAGATCTAGTCCCTTGAACCCATTCATCACCTCCACTGTATAACCATAAGGAATTTTACTTAGGTCATACCTGAATGGCCTAGTGGTTTTCTATACTTTTTTCAATTTGAGCCTGAATTTAGCAATAAGGAGCTGATGATCTGAGTCACAGTCAGTTCCAGGACTTGTTTTTGCTGACTATATAGAGCTTCTCCATCTTCGGCTGTGAAGAATATAATCAGTCTGATTTTGCTACTGACCACCTGGTGATGTCCATGTGTAGAGTCATCCCGTGTGTTGTTGGAAGAGAGTGTTTGCTGTGACCAGTGTGTTCTCTTGGCAAAACTCTGTTAGCCTTTGCCCTGCTTCATTTTGTACTCCAAGGCCAAACTTGCCTGATATTCCAAGTATCTCTTGACTTCCTACTTTTCATTCCAGATGAAAAGGACATCTCTTTTTTGGCGTTAGTTCTAGGAGGTCTTGTCGGTCTTCATAGAGTCGTTCAACTTCAGCTTCTTTAGCCTTAGCAGCTGGGGCATAGACTTGGTTTACTGATACTGAATGATTGGAAACGAACTGAGATCATTCTGTCATTTTTGAGACTGCAACCAACTGCATTTCGGACTCTCTTTGTTGACTATGAGGGCTACTCCACAGGAGCTCTTGCCCACAGTTGTGGATATAATGGTCATCTGAATTTAATTCGCCTATTCCCGTCCATTTAGTTCACTGATTCCTAAAATGTTGATGTTCACTCTTGCCATCTCCTGTTTGACCACGTCCAGTCTACTTTAATTCACGGACCTAACATTCCAGGTTCCTGTGCAGAGTTGTTCTCACAGCATCAGACTTCACTCTCGCCACCAGGCACAACCGCAGCTGAGCTTCGTTCCTGCTTCGGCTCAGCCTCTGCATTCTGTCTGCAGCGGTTTTTCCCTTCTTACCCAGCATTGTACTGGATAGCTACTGACCCAGGGCATTCGTCTTTCAGTGTCCTATCTTTTTGCCTTTCCATACTGACTATTCATTATTCATCTTAGAGTATGTTTTAAATAGATATATTAAAAAAGTTTTTGTACACAATTTTAGACTCTCCTTCTTTTCCCAGCACATTTGTGACCTCCTGTTTGGGAAACATTTCTTTGGCAAGAAAAGAATATATACATATGTATCTATTTTTGGCTGTGTAGAATAGCATGTGGAATCTTAGCTCCGCGACCAGGGATTGAACCTGTGCCCCCTCTGCGGCAGCACCGAGTCTTAACCACTGGACCATCAGGGAAGTCCCTGGCAAATGTTTTTCTGATTGCTATCACGAGTTCAGGATTCAAGGATGTGAAAACAAAACAAATTTTAAAAACCTCCATTCTTAATTTAATGAGAGACACTTTAACAGCAAACTATCAATAGACTTGTGCTAACCTAAAGGTATGTAAAGAGAGCTGTGAAAAAAAAAATTGAAAGGAGTCACCCAGTCCTCTTACGGGTAGAGGAGAGGTTAGAGCACATCCTGGAAGAGATCGATTGAATAGGATCGTAAAATAGGAGAGGGTGGGTTAAACTCGGCAGGGAGAGAGGATCTGTAAAGATCAAGGTCAAGAAACGTATGAACATCATAATGATGAGAAGTGTGTGACTCTGGATAGCATTTGTAATGTGAACAGTAAGTTGGAACTCCACAGTAGAAGTTAGACCCACTGTTTCGCTCTTGTTTCATATACTCTGAGGGAGCCATGAAGATATTAGAACAGGGGGACTATTCACGACAGTGTTTTATACACAGAAATTACCGCACTGTATTGTGATGTTCTCCCTCACTGACCATTGGGCTCTGACCATGAATTACTAGTCTTTGTACACTAAACTTCTGTGGAGTAACTGATAAAGCTAATGCTTAGAGAACGTTGGTTGAATGACTAATCGTGAGTAAACAGGATTCAGAAGAATGATGACAGTCCTCTGTGGTGGTAGTTTTAAGTTTCCGTGGGTGATAGACCACTCTGTAGTTCTGTTGAAAGCTATAAACCTTCTTTTTGAAAATGTAAATACATACAACATTTGGCCTACAATTTCATGGGATTCGTGTATTCCTGAAGCCAGTCTGTGGATTCCTGGTTCAGAATCCTTCCTTAGGAAATTACACCCAAGGAGCCTACAATCACCACCAAACTTCACCATGAATAAACGACTGTCTCTTTCAAGAGTCTAAATGTTAGATCTTTCTTGTACTTTTCTTGAATTATCTTCATGCTTGGGAGGATTTAGTTCAAAGAGCTGAACTATCTATGAAGGAAGGAAAAGAATTTTTATAATGACTAAGTTAAAACTTTGCTGGTCTGTAAAGATAATAAAGTGTGCTTAATTAAGCCAGCAGCCAAGAAGCAGCTGCTAGAGGTGATGCTGATGGTCCCTGAGTTTGGATTTAACAAGTGAGGTGGGGGTCCTCAAAACCTTCCTCAGGCTTGATGATTTACTAGAAGGACTCATCGGACCCAGAAAAGCTGTTGATACTCATGGTTTTTATTTATTACAATGGAAAGACATGTACCAAAATCATCAAAGGGAAAAGGGAGGGCACATGGGGCAGAGCCCAGGAGAAGCCACGGGCCAGCTTCCAGATTCCTCTCCCGGTGCAGCATCACCAGTGCGCTCAGAACTTACTCAGGGACGCAGCACGTGGGAAGCGTTGCCCGCCAGCGAAGTTCCTGGAGCCTTGGTGTCCAGGGGCTCGGTCACAAAGGCTCAGTCACGTAGCACTCTTGTGAGGGAGGGTATCTCAGGGTGTCAGAGCTCACCTCCCCAAACTGGCCAAGGACCGGTCCTGAAGACAAGCCTTTCCTGAGGACGTGCGAGGTTTGCGCAGCTTGGACTTGCCGGGTGAACCCTTTCCCACACACCAGGTTAGCTGTTGAGAGTAGCCAGCTAGCTTCTGGCCTGCCTGTCTGCCCAGCCACTGTTTCTAGTTACAGCAGACCTCCCTGCTCTCACCGCAGATGGCCATTCTGCAAACCTGGACACTTCCTTTCCCGATGTGTAATTGGACTCAAGGATGTATCTGTGCTTCTCATGAGAACACAGTGATCTCCCACTCATTTCACGGTTTTTGAATGTTGTGTACCAAGCTTAGTTCTAGATGCAGATTTACAGAATCTGCCCTCAAGAACCTTAGAGTTTCATGAGGGAAAGGAGAAGATAGTTCCGGTAATCTGTGTGTGTATGCTTTGGGGAACACTTACGCTTGTTGGCGAGCTTAGTGAAGGGGGGTTCTGTGTGTATGGGAAGGTGTTGATTATAATTAGCAGACTTCCCTTAAGGAATTACTCTTCAAGTTGAGCCATAAAGATCAAATAGATAAAAGTGGGCACGAGGCAAGTGTTTCTCCAGTTATTTCTATAGCCAGTTGCCTTTGTGGTTGGAGCACATGTGTCTTGTTACCTTTCTTATGAGAAACCACTCTAATCCTGATGGGAAGGTACGTGTCTTTTTTGGAGTTTGCACAGGAGAAGGGGATGTCTGGCTCAATACAAATCTATTTCCATTACTCTGTTACCATAAGCTAACCCTGAGATTTCCAACCTACAGTGATTTCCATTCCCCCAGTGCAGGGAATATATGAATCCCTAATTTTGGACTGATATGAATAAGTATAACCTTTGTAAATTTTTGTGTACTGCATTTTAAATGGGAGGACAAATGCTTGCCTTGCACAGATAAAATTGCATGTAACAGTTTTTCTCTACTTGGAAGCTAAAAAGGTTTAGGAAAAAATCTGGGTCCAAATTTCAACATGTTTGACTCCTACACATATGTGCTTCTTAATAGAATTTGGAACTTCTCAGAATAACAAAGAGTTTTGTTTTTTGAACAGTGTAAAGAAAACTGTATAATTAGAATCAGGAATGTGTCAATATTAGTACAGAGACTATGGGATAATTTAAAATTGTTAACTTTGATAATTTTCTCTGATAGGCTCTTTTTTCTTTTTTTCCAGCATTACAATGTTTCTGCCACCTTTGTACAAAAGACAATTTTACTTGTGTCACAGATGGGCTTTGCTTTGTCTCTGTGACAGAGACCACAGACAAAGTTATACATAACAGCATGTGTATAGCTGAAATTGACCTAATTCCACGAGACAGGCCATTTGTATGTGCACCATCTTCAAAAACTGGGCATGTAACTACAACATATTGCTGCAATCAGGACCACTGCAATAAAATAGAACTTCCAACTGTTGGTAAGTTGTATTTTTTTTTTCTTGATACTATAAGAAAAGCTCTTAGACTATCCCAGTTTATTCACTTTAGAGGCAAAAATTAACTAGTCCCATACTAGCAGAGTCATAAGAGTAGCCAAAATTCTTACTCCTGGGTGTGTGTTGCTTGAGAAGGTGGTGCCGGGACAGACTTTCTCTGAGTTCTGTTGTGCCTAAAGGAGGAGTAGGCACTTTTGGAGAATCCTCACGCAGGCTGCCACAGCAGCCATCCTGAGTGTCCCAGCTTGCATAATGCTCCAGCCCCTGAAAGCGGCCAGTCAGGGACGGGGAATGGAGAGCAACTCAGCAGTCCGACACCTTCACTTTGTGATTTCACCTTGCTTTATGATCGTTATGTGTAAATTATTACATGTGATTTCTCGGTTTTTGGTCCTTCACCATAGTTTACATTTTAAAATGTCCTAGGAGAGCCAGAAATTAGAAAACTTCATAAACAGGACTGGAGTAGAGATTCTGGTAAGGATGTTGGTCTGAGCTCAGGTGTTTAACTGCCGTCACTTTTCCCGGTGGGCGCCTTGCGGGCTCAGACGGTAAAGAATCTGCCTGCAGGGTGGGATTCCCAGGTTCCACCCCTGGGTTGAGAAGATCCCCTGGAGAAGGAACTGGCAACCCACTCCAGTCTTCTGGCCTGGAGAACCCTGTGGACAGAGGAGCCTGGCAGACCATGAGGTCACAAGGAATCAGGCATGACTGAGCACCTACATGATGTGATATGATGATCTGTCACTCTCCCCAAATACCTACTATAATAAAGGAGTACAGAAATGAGGGAAAGCTGTATTAATGCTAGGGGAATTCATGGAAGAAGTGTTACCTACATGCATGCGGAGTTGTCAGGAACTGCAGTTTATAGTGCAGATGATAATAGTCTAGTTAAGAATTGACTAACTATAGGAAAAGAAGTAGGTGAAAGAACTTTTTGCAGAATCCCAGCAGTACTTTAAGCTGTGAGGCTGGGCATGAGGCTGGGCTGCATGAGGTGCTCCTTTAGGGAGCACCGCTCTCAGTGCTCAGAGGCGCAGACCCCAGCGCTCCGTGTCCACTCAGAGGCGGTTTAGGCATCATACTAGTTAGAGCAGGAAACACTGCTGGAGCTCCGGGGAAAGGGCCAGTCCCGCCAGTCACAGAGGCAGGCAGTCTTCCACCTAGTTCACGTGATGACAGCAAAGTAGAACCAGATCTTCAGCACAAAGAAGGTCCTTGTGGCGAAGCTCTGTCAGACCGTAATCTTTCTGACTTTTATATAGTTATTTGCAGTTCTAATATGACAAAGAGAATAATGATTTCAGAATCTCCCATTTTTGTTGTTTGAAATGGCTTGAAGTGTCAGTATGGAGACTCAACAAAACCTTATGAAGAACTCAATTTCTAATGCTAAAATACACAGATCCATCATTCCCAGGTCCCTGATAATCAGACAGCAAATGATTTTACCAAATGGAAGGATTCCATGGTTCAAAAGAAGTGAACTGAATTGGATAAATGAGAGTAGATGTCATCCTAAGAAATAGACTTACCACATGATAGGGGAGAACTTTCAGAGAGTCCAAGGTCTGTTTTCAGTAGTCCACAGTGAAATGAGAACATTTCACAGTGGTTAAAGATTGCTTTCAGATGAAAAGCTCAATTGATAAATTATTTTTAAAAATTTGAAATATTGAAAGTGAACAGCAGACTGTATACTATAATTTTATAATCAAGTGTGAGACAAGCTTAAGGCAAGACAAGCTTGAGAAATTGTGTTACAATTCAGAAAAAAGATAGTTGGTGAGCAAATTAAGAGATATAGAGGACAGATCTAGATGATCCAATGTGCTTACTGTAAAACCAGAAAAAGGCAAAAGGACAGAAGAGAAAAGAATACTATGTAAAATTAATGAAGAATTACTTAACCAAATATATATAATGAAAAATCCATCAATTTTCAAGAATAAAGGAAAACTGTGTACACATTCAGCACAGGTGAACACTGGTTACCTATAAACGGAAAAAGTTCAAATTATTATGTTTAAAAAAATACCAGAAGGCAATGAAATATCATATATTGCTTGTTACCCAAAATTCTTTAGATGAGCCAAGATTTTTCCTGTGTAAAGGCAGCAGCTAACTTTAGATAATCGAGTATTCAATGTGTATGCACTCATGCACTCCTTCTGAAAGATAGGATTCGTTGTAAGAAATCAGTCCAATAAAGATCTCAACATGATAAAGATGTGATGTGAAGGAAATGGTGGTGGGCCATGAACCAGTAAGTGTCAGAATGAATGCCTAAATAGTTATAATTAATGTGTTTCTGAAGCAATGCAAATTGTTAATTGTTAAATTATAAAAAATGATCTTGAATTAAAAGGCTCAGTGATTAAGATAAACTGGAAAGTATACACGTGCAAACTCTATTAAAAAATGGTATATTTTTGCATGGAAAAAAAATTGGTGGAGATATATAGATACACAGAACATGCAAAGATGAATTTTAGGGGGATTGTGAGGCTGTAGATAAATTTAACTTTTGCTCATCTGTATTTATACTTTTTAATTTTTTTCTTGCTATGAGCATATACTGGCCTTGGAATAAGAAGATAAGCCAAACTGCTTTTTTAAGAAAAGAAAAGACAGTGACTCAAGAAATATTTAATGAGAGTTGTTCCAGATTATCGGTTCTTCCATTAGTAATCTGAGAGTGGTGGGAGGTGGGGAGTTGGGTGTACAATGTTTGCAGCACCTGGCCTTGTTATTTAGGCTCAAGGCTACAGGAAGACTAAGTGGATGCTGACAGAGCTAGTGATGGTGAAAGGGGAGCCAGCGGGAGAAGACGAGGTGCTTCACTTGCTCTGGGTTTGAGCTCCATGAGCTGCTGCAATGAGGCTGTGACTGAGGAGGATCAGGAAACTGTGGACGCCGCCTATAGTGTTATTGTTGTTGTTGATTTCATTTGAGGCCCTTTTACAGGAAAGCCACCCTCTGGCCTTGGTCCCGTGGAGCTGGCAGCGGTCATCGCTGGGCCCGTCTGCTTTGTCTGCATCTCACTCATGCTGATGGTCTACATCTGCCACAACCGCACCGTCATCCACCACCGAGTGCCGAACGAAGAGGACCCCTCGCTGGATCGCCCTTTTATTTCAGAGGGCACGACGCTAAAAGATTTAATTTACGACATGACAACGTCGGGTTCTGGATCAGGTAATGTATTTCTTTTTCCTAAAATGTCTTTTTAAAATTAACTGTATTTATTAGTTGGTTAAGCCAGTTGGCTAAATTTGTAAAAATTTGGGCTAGTGTGAATACTACCCCAGGTTTGAACCTTAATATAGGTCTTTAAGCTAGGTTTATATCTGACTGTGGCTAGTTTAGGAAGGACAAATTAGAAGTGACTGACTTGTCAACATTTCATCAGTAAGTCACCTTCACATTTGTGTAAATTTCAAAGCATTCTCACCTTCTCATGACTGTGCAAGATAAAAAGGATAAGGACAGTTATTCTTCTGTAGCTGAGGCTGAAGTTCAAAGATGTTCAAATAATCTGCAGTTACCCATTCTCTTCAGGAATGTTTAGCAGCTTTATTTTTATATTTGAAAGCAGGTGTGACAGTGTGTTTGAAATTGTGAAGGCTATTTGCTTTTTTAACAAGAAATTGCTGTCTTTGGCTCTGGGATTGTGAGGCTGTAGATAAATTTAACTTTTGCTCATCTGTATTTATACTTTTTAATTTTTTTCTTGCTATGAGCATATACTGGCCTTGGAATAAGAAGATAAGCCATACTGCTTTTTTAAGAAAAGAAAAGACAGTGACTCAAGAAATATTTAATGAGAGTTGTTCCAGATTATCGGTTCTTCCATTAGTAATCTGAGAGTGGTGGGAGGTGGGGAGTTGGGTGTACAATGTTTGCAGCACCTGGCCTTGTTATTTAGGCTCAAGGCTACAGGAAGACTAAGTGGATGCTGACAGAGCTAGTGATGGTGAAAGGGGAGCCAGCGGGAGAAGACGAGGTGCTTCACTTGCTCTGGGTTTGAGCTCCATGAGCTGCTGCAATGAGGCTGTGACTGAGGAGGATCAGGAAACTGTGGACGCCGCCTATAGTGTTATTGTTGTTGTTGATTTCATTTGAGGCCCTTTTACAGGAAAGCCACCCTCTGGCCTTGGTCCCGTGGAGCTGGCAGCGGTCATCGCTGGGCCCGTCTGCTTTGTCTGCATCTCACTCATGCTGATGGTCTACATCTGCCACAACCGCACCGTCATCCACCACCGAGTGCCGAACGAAGAGGACCCCTCGCTGGATCGCCCTTTTATTTCAGAGGGCACGACGCTAAAAGATTTAATTTACGACATGACAACGTCGGGTTCTGGATCAGGTAATGTATTTCTTTTTCCTAAAATGTCTTTTTAAAATTAACTGTATTTATTAGTTGGTTAAGCCAGTTGGCTAAATTTGTAAAAATTTGGGCTAGTGTGAATATTACCCCAGGTTTGAACCTTAATATAGGTCTTTAAGCTAGGTTTATATCTGACTGTGGCTAGTTTAGGAAGGACAAATTAGAAGTGACTGACTTGTCAACATTTCATCAGTAAGTCACCTTCACATTTGTGTAAATTTCAAAGCATTCTCACCTTCTCATGACTGTGCAAGATAAAAAGGATAAGGACAGTTATTCTTCTGTAGCTGAGGCTGAAGTTCAAAGATGTTCAAATAATCTGCAGTTACCCATTCTCTTCAGGAATGTTTAGCAGCTTTATTTTTATATTTGAAAGCAGGTGTGACAGTGTGTTTGAAATTGTGAAGGCTATTTGCTTTTTTAACAAGAAATTGCTGTCTTTGGCTCGGGCCTATTTCTTGTTGTTGTTTTTATTAAACAAATGAATTTTTTGTCATTTTCTCCCTTAAGAAAATGCCTGACCACTTTGTTATTTAATACAGCTTTATGGATCCATGGCCCTTCTGATATTTGCTTTTCTCAGTTTGTTGATTTATGTAGGATCAGAAGTAGATTACCCAATTGCCTGAAGCAAATTAACTTCAAATAAGGGCTAGATTCATGGATACAAAGATTAAAAAAAAAAAAATATATATATATATATAAAATGAAAATTTCACAAATTATATAATCAAGTGATTAAAGGAATTTTAAAGCAAAAATTATGACTAGGGGAAGCATATGGCTTTGAAGCATAAAATCACAGACACAAAAAAAAGTTCACAAAATGAAAAATGCTTTATTTCAAGGGAATCGAGGTATATTTTAAGGGATGTGTATGTACATGTGTTCATTCATTTAAGTATGAAGAAACTGATTTCATGACCTAAAGTTTTCTTCTGTAGAATTTGACCATAAATATTCCATGAGTTCTGTCCATGACTACTAGGGTGCATACAGGCTTACGAAGGAGCCCAGGTCTCTTAAGGCAGCCTTGTAGGGATTCCTGGGACTCCTATGAGGAGGGAAGCAATTAGAAGTTGGATTAGAGGAGCAGCCTTAGTTCTGAAGATGTGGTAGAAATGGTGGAGGAGTGGCCAGAGATTATTTTATGGCTTCCCTGGGGTTCCCCTTTGATTCTGAGTTAAAGGGTTCTCAAAGAGTATCTGGCTCATTCTAGGAGTTATCCTGGAACAAAAAAGTATCTTAAGCAAGGACCAAAGTCACAGAAAATTAGTGTGGCTTTAGATCATTTGGAATTAATCCCTTGGACCTGCTCTCTTGTGGCCAAACTTAAACCCAAGGAAATCAAAGTAGCTCATGTCACCTGGCACAGTGTTATGTATCTGGCCTTAAGGGGAGCCAAGTCTTCCTAAATGATTAAAAGAAATTGCTGTCTGGATGGCAGTTGATTTCTAAATAAGGATATATTTACCTTTTAAGATACAGATATGAAGTAAAGAATGGAATGGCTCTTCTTCCATTTTACCTATATTTCTAGATCTGTCAGGGACCCAGCTCCATTGTCTGAAAGCCTCTTTCCTTTTTATGCCTCCTCCTACCATGTAAAAACTTGTCTGTGCTGTTTGCCAGCTCTGTGGCTTTGGTCGTTAGCTGATGTCTCATGCTGGAGTTATTTCATCTTTAAAATGAAAATAATGAATCCTGCCTTGTATACGTCATTGAATTTGTTTTGAGATTCAAATGAAATGGTATATTTGCGTGAAAGCACTTAATTAAGCACTTGGTAGATTGTAAAGGTTTATCCAAATGACAAGTGTTACTCTTATTGAAAAGGTATTTGGGAAAGAAATCTGACATCCAGTTATGAATCTGCTGCATTTTACAGAAAAGCTTTCGTTTAAGGCCTCTTTCCCTGTTGTACTTTATTCTGTGCTGAACGACTTCCAGATCTATCCAGACAGAAGCTATCTTCTGTTGAATGATAGCAGAAAGTGCTTTTCCTCCTATTTATTATAAAGCCTGAATGCCACTTCATGAATGGAACTCATGCCTCTGAGTAAGTCAAATATCTATGAATAATACCCTTTTTAGTTCTTTCAGTCTATGAGGAAAAGGTAAAACAACATTTTATGTTATGAATTCAAATGTTTATTACTTAAATAATATTAATTAAATATTACTTAAATAAATAGTACCATATTTGAGGAAGGGCCCCATCGCTCTCTTTCAAAGACTGTACTTTTTAACTTGGGAATTGCGGGAGACAGTAGAGAGCTGGGTCTGGTACCAGCTTAAAGCTGACCTCATCCCTGTCGCATGAATCNTAGTAAATTGCCCTCCCTCTGGTCTCTGTCACAATTACTCAAAGTTGCCATAGTAGCACAAAAGCAAGCATTAGTTTTATATGGAGGAATGGGTGTGGGTGTGTTCTAATAAAACTTTATTGAAGAAAACAGTGGGCTCTTTTTAGTCTGTGGACCATAGTTTGTCTACCACTCTTCTGGCATGGCTTTGCAAGAGTGGGGTTTCCCAGCTGGCGCTAATGGTAAAGAACCCGCCTGCCATTGCAGGAGATGTTAGAGATGCAGGTGCGATCCTTGGGTCGGGAAGATCCCCCGGAGAAGGAAATGGCAACCCACTCCAGTATTCTTGCCTGGAGAATCCCATGGATGGAGGAGCCTGGCAGGATACAGTCCACGGGGTCGCAAAGAGTCGGACACAACTGAGCGACTTCACTTTAACTTTCTTTTTTATTCCTTGCCGTTCTAACTTCAAGATCAGCCTCCTGAAAGGAACCTTATTTTCTTTGTGTTTTTAATATTTATTAATACATAAATAAATAAAACCCTGGTGGCTCAGATGGTGAAGAATCGCCTGCAATGCGGGAAACCCGGGTTTGATCCCTAGGCCGGGAAGATTGCCTGGAGGAGGGCGTGGCGGCCCACTCCAGTATTCTTGCCTGGAGAATCTCCATGGACAGAGGAGCTACATTCCATGTGGGCTACGGTCCTGCAGTCGCAGAGTCGGACACGACCGAGCGACTGGGCACAGCACGTGGGATCGTGGCCGGCTGGGTCTTCGCCGCCGCACGCTGGCTTTCCCTGGCAGCACCTGGTGGGGCGCTCTTCACTGCAGTGCCTTCTCGTCGCGAGCGCAGGCTCTGGGTTGCACGAGCTTCAGTCGTCGTGGCGCGTGGGCCTCGCTGCCCAGCAGCAGGTGGCATCTTCCTGGACCAGGGGATCAAACTGGTGTCCCTTGCATCGGCAGGCCGATGCTTATCTGCTGGACCACCAGTAAAGTCCCTGAAATGAACTCTCGTGTATCCTTGACATCTTTTTAAGTACATGGTGTGGCCCTGTTCAGAGGCTTCAGTGTCTGCCGTGTGTACTGTCAGTACCTTAGTGTCCACTGGAAACAACATAATTAGGAACTGGCTATTCATAATACAAATGAGCTTCTTCATTCAATTTCTACAGGTTTATTTTTAACCAGCAGTCTCCTTGTAAAAACAACTGTTTACAATTAGACTGCCAACTACTTTGCAGGAAGTAGGGGACGGATGGATAGAATAAGGGAAAGACCTATTTGAGAAGCTTAAAGATGAAAAGAGACAAAGATTTAATGTTTGTATTTATAAGCATTTCACACTAGAAACCAAAGAGAGCAGATAATTTCATTTACCTCCATTGGGTTAATTTGATCTAGTAGGCAACTCAATATAGCTTATATGTGACACAACTTTATGCATATTAGACTATATAAATAGTGTAGAACATGATGTACACTGATATTTTAATGGTCAGTGCCAGTATAATTTAAGGTGACAGTTCTTAGTCCATGAGCTATTAAGTGAATTAGAAAAGTGTTACTTAAATTTTATAGGTAGTTAAGTACTTTTATATAAATGAAGTGTGGTAAAATATTAAACTCTGTGTTAAAATCAAGCAAGTTCTTTTGGTGAGAAAACTGCCAACATCTCATCACCAAGATAAGTTACTTGGCATCATTCTTTGAGATATTAAGAGTTGTGGGGAGCCAGTCCCTAGCACATAAATGAGTAAACTGCCTGTCCTGAGATGGTTTCTGTGACCATTTTTAAAGTTAGACCATAATTCACTTCTCTTGGTTTTGGTGTTTACATACTTTTCCCCTCCCATTCTTAAAACTTACCAGACTCATCTTTCTGAAATAAGATTTTTAAATCATTTCTTCCCATCCATGGCCCCTTTTCAGAAATGTCTGCCAGTCCCTCTTTGCCCCAGAGCTCTTCTCTGGGCATCCTGAGCTTGGCACTCAGGACTCCTCACATTCTGACGCAGCTTCCCTGTTCTGCTATTTTACTGCACACGCCCCCTTTCTGCTTATCTAAGCTGGTTCCCTAAACGTTATCTTCTGTTTCCTTCTTTCTGCTTTTGCTTGTGTATTCCTCCTACCTAAACACCTGACCTTCTCTTCTTTAGTCCTACCCCTTCTGTAACCACGGTCTAAATTCAGCTCACCTTTTAAAGCCTGCGTTGACTCTTAGGCAGGAGTTTCTGGATCCTTTGATTAATTTCCTTTTTATCATGAATTATTGATTTCACAAATTTACTCTATTTCCTCAGTGAGATTTTAAGTTACTAAACCTTTCTGGGTCATTCTTTAACACCTATCCTAGTTTAGAAACACATACTGATATTTTGTATTGAATGCTGTTTCTTTTTATCCTTAGGTTTACCATTGCTTGTTCAGAGAACAATTGCGAGAACTATTGTGTTACAAGAAAGTATTGGCAAAGGCCGTTTTGGAGAAGTTTGGCGAGGAAAATGGAGAGGAGAAGAAGTGGCTGTTAAAATATTCTCTTCGAGAGAAGAACGTTCATGGTTCCGTGAGGCAGAGATTTATCAGACTGTCATGTTACGTCACGAAAACATCTTGGGATTTATAGCAGCAGACAATAAAGGTCGGTGACATTTGCTTCTCCTGTGAGTGTAACAAAATATATTTTAATTCCTTCTACACATAAGACTATTAAACACTGTCACATTTGATGAGAAATGGGTATTTGTCATATTGGTTAGACCTATTAAGTAAAACAGAATACATTAGAAGCCTTTAGAAACAGGAACTTCTAAAAGATTTTCTTGATTCTTGACATGTTCCTAAACTTCTAATTACTTCATAAAGTATAAAGAGCTATTTAAAAAGACAAAAAGTGAAACTATATGCTTTTGTTAATTTGGTTCTGGGAAGTTAGATATTGAATATAGTCATAACAGAAAAAAAATTCATCAGCTCTAGTTGCCCGGAGTTCTGAGATAGACTAGAGCTCAGATATGTTTCCTTTTAATTTCTTCCTGACCATTAGGGCATTCTAGTATTTCCTAATGAGCTTATTTACAGGGAGAATAAAAATAACTTCTCAGCTGTATTCTGTGTTTAAATTTCTAGGGCTAAATAGATTAGTCTTTTAAGTAAACTCAAGAGAAATGGTTTCTCTAAAACCGCCTTGGTAACCATGTGGATGAACCCTGTCTTGCCTGTGGTACACAGGTGACTGAGGCCAGGGGTCAGATCAGATGCTGAAGCAAGTGAGGAAGCCATGTGCGTAGACAGTCAGGATGAGCAGTGACTGAAAAGTCACTTCAGACTGTACTTACTTTTTTGGCTTCGGTTACAGCAGTGCCCACAATCCCTACCTTTATAGCGTTTGTCAGAGACTTGTATGAAACTTAACTCTCATCATACTTGCTTTGAATCAAATGTATTTCCTAGCATTGCTTTTTTTTTTTTTTAGAAAAATGCTTTCATTCTTTTTTAAAGGCCATAACCATAGTCATCTTTTTACTCTTCTCCTTTCCCCTTTTCTTCAACAATATTTATTTCTTCAAAATGTTAATAGTGTTTAATTGTAATTGGTGTTCATGGGTGATTTTGATTTTTCTTGTTTCTCTGTATTTTCAAATTTATTTACAATGAACATTACTTGTTTTTTTAAACTTTTATTTATAGAAAATTTCCAGTATACAGAAAAGTAGAGAATAGGGTAGTGGATTCCCATTACCCAGCTTCAAAAATTATCAGTTCATTGCAAATCATATTTGAGTTCTGATTTCATCTACTCTGCCCCCTTTGAATTATTTGAAGCTAATCCCAGCAATACATGTTTTCACTATGAATATTTCAGTTTGCAACTTTAGATTATAGGGCATCTTTTTTTATGAAACATAACCATACGACCATTGTCAGTTTAAAAGATGCTATCAAATATCTAGTCAGTTTCATATTTCTGCAATTGTCTACTTATTGGTTATTCACTTTAGGATCCACTGCATTTAGTCGATATTTATCTTAAGTCCTTAAAAAACACTAGGGTTCCCCTTTGTCTTTTTTTTTCTCCTTCTCACAGTTTATTTGTTCAACTGGATTGTTTGTCCTATAGAGCTTATCATATTCTAGATTTGCTAATTGAATTCATATAGCATCTCTGAACTTGCTCCTTGTATAATTTGAAAACTGGTAGTTAAAATTAGAAACTGAATCTGATTATTTTATTGGTTTTCTGACTGAAAGTACTTTCTACATATTATTGTATTCTTTCTATTGCACCTCATCAGGAGGCATATATATGTGATTATCTACTTTTTGTGACCTAGGGGTGATGATGGATGTAAGCAGCTGTTATCAATAGATACTACCAATTTGGTATTATTTAATTGAAAAACAAAACAAACAAAACCAGTACTCGTAGTCTGACCAAGTCCTTACTTTTCATTTTCTTCTTAGACACCATTTTGCTTCTTCCCCAGTGCTTTAAAACAGTCTTTATTATTAATGTATTCTGTGACTATGGAGTTTTGTAAATTTTTTTTTATTGAAGGATAATTGCTGTACGGAATTTTGTTTTCTGTCAAACCTCAACATGAATCAGCCGCAGGTATACACATATCCCCTCCCTCTTGAACCTCCCTCCCATCCCACCCCTCTAGATTGGTACAGAGCCGTTTGTGTTTCCCGAGACACACAGCAAATTCCCATGGCAGTCTGTTTTACACGTGGTAATGTTAAGTTTCCGTGTTACCCTTCCCGTACATCTCACCCTCTCCTCCCCTCTCCCCAGGTCCAAAAGTCTGTTCTCTAACCTGTTTCTCCATTGCTGCCCTGTAAATAAATTCTTCGGTACAATTTTTCTAGATTCTGTATATGTGTTAGAATACGATATTTATCTTTTCTCTGACTCACTTCACTCTGTGTAATAGGTTCTAGGTTCATCCACCTCATCAGAACTGACTCAAATGCGTTCCTTTCTATGGCTGAGTAATATTCCATTGTCCATTGTGTATAAGTACCACTACTTCTTTATCCACTCATCTGTCAGTGGACCTCTATGTTGCTTCCATGTTCTAGCTACTGTAAATAGTGCTGCAGTGAACAGTGGGATACATGTGTCTTTTTCAGTTTTGGTCTCCTCAGGGTGTATGCCTAGGAGTGGGATTGCTGGGTCATATGGTGGCTTTATTCCTAGTTTTTTAAGGAATCTCCATACCGTCTTCCATAGTGGCTGTATCAATTTACATTCCCACCAACAGTGCAAGAGCGTTCCCTCTTCTCCACACCCTGTCCAGCATTTACTGTTTGTAGACTTTTTGGTGAGGGCCATTCTGACTGGTGTGAGGTGATACCTCATTGTGGTTTTGATTTGCATTTCTCTAATAATGAGCGATGTTGAGCATCTTTTCACGTGTTTGTTAGCCATCTGTAGTCTTCTTTGGAGAAGTGTCTGTTTAGGTCTTTTTCCCACTTTCTGATTGATTGGGTGAGTTTATTTCCTAATGGGTGCTTTTGTTTTCGGAAACCCTTCTTAACTCATATGAAGGCTCTAATTCTACACACAGTAACTTCTCCCTCAAAGAACTCGCCCACATTCCTGGTTTCTGTTGCTTCCATGTTCTAGCTACTGTAAATAGTGCTGCAGTGAACAGTGGGATACATGTGTCTTTTTCAGTTTTGGTCTCCTCAGGGTGTATGCCTAGGAGTGGGATTGCTGGGTCATATGGTGGCTTTATTCCTAGTTTTTTAAGGAATCTCCATACCGTCTTCCATAGTGGCTGTATCAATTTACATTCCCACCAACAGTGCAAGAGCGTTCCCTCTTCTCCACACCCTCTCCAGCATTTACTGTTTGTAGACTTTTTGGTGAGGGCCATTCTGACTGGTGTGAGGTGATACCTCATTGTGGTTTTGATTTGCATTTCTCTAATAATGAGCGATGTTGAGCATCTTTTCACGTGTTTGTTAGCCATCTGTAGTCTTCTTTGGAGAAGTGTCTGTTTAGGTCTTTTTCCCACTTTCTGATTGATTGGGTGAGTTTATTTCCTAATGGGTGCTTTTGTTTTCGGAAACCCTTCTTAACTCATATGAAGGCTCTAATTCTACACACAGTAACTTCTCCCTCAAAGAACTCGCCCACATTCCTGGTTTCAAGTTCGGTGGTGGCAGTGACTGTAAGAGGGGCGGCCTGAGGCTTGGTCTGAGCTGCTAACGCGCCGGCTGGCTGCTCCCTGAACGCCTTTGGCTCGAGCAGCAGCCAAGCCGGGGCTGCCACCTAGCGGTCACCGTGGGGAGTGGCGACCCCGCTGGCTCTCCCCTCCTCCTCTGTCTGTGTCAGGGGTCCAGGCTCTGCCTAGAAGCTAGGCCTGCCCCGCCCCCTTCCCTTCTCCTGTATTTTCCTCCTCCTAATTTAGTTAATTCCAACTCAGACAACCCTTTATGTGGGCACAGCCAGTATATCCTTCCACCTCTTGTCAGTTACCTCAGAAAATCTCCCAGTCTCCATCTTACTGTGTTCCAAATTTATTTCTTGTATTTGTGAACCTTCCAGAATTCAGCTATGGTTAATAGTCATGCATATGTACTTAAGTGATATACCTGTATCAAGTAAAAAGAAAGGTACAAGTTTGAACAGAATCAGTTTATGGAAGTTTATGAATGAACTTATAAAGAACTAGTATCATGAATATCTAAATCCTTTCGAAAATACTCAGCAATCTCCTCCAGAATCTTCTGAAAACATTTCATTCCTTAATTGCTTCTAATCAGAGTTGCTGTCTTTCAAGTAACAACCTTCAAAATAAGAAAGTGCTTTATGTCACTTTGAGTATCTTTTGTTACACAACAGGGAAGGAAATAGCACATTTTAGTTCTTGTGTGCCATGCTAAATGCTTCTTAAAAACTTTATCCTATTTTTAAAATCTTCTTAGTGGTCTTGAAAAGTTAAGGTATTCTTGCAGTGTAAAAGAGGAAACAAAGGCTCACTGGTTAAGAAGTTTCTTAACTAGTCTAAGGTCACGTAGTCAGTAACGGCCAGGCCCTGGATTCCAACCCAGGTCAGAATGACTCCAAGTAAAGCATCTTTTACTGAAATGCCCTGCCTCCTAGTATTGTTGTAATACTGTTTTGCTATCATGACTTTGTGAAATATATGGGTCTCCAGCTACTTCTAGGTTAAATGGACTTGCGTGGATCAGCCTAGCCGAGAAGCCCAGCCAGAACCTTTACCATGGCTCCTGAGGGAAATCACATTTTCATTTCACGTATCGGTTTACAGTTAATTGAACTTTTGGAAAAAGGCACATTCCTAGCTGGCGAGGTTTAAAACTACCTTGTGTAAAATTAAATTCAGTCCTAGCCTTATCCCCTCCTGACATTTTTAGTTCCTCTCTCAGCTTCCCCATGAGTCAGTGATACTACTGTTCTATAGTTTTCTAAGCTGGAGACCTTGGAGTTGCAGAAATCTTACTTGGTGTCTTGCTGGACTGTACACACAGTCTGTCACTAAAGCCTGCATTTCTCATTTAAGGTCACGTTCAGTTTGTCCCACAATATTCCATCCCCACTGTGGCCGCGCTAGGCTCCGGGTATCTCTCTTCTTCCTCCTCCCTCGTTGTTCCCCCCCCGGCTCCCAGGAGCAATCACTGAGCAACTCACCTGGACCAGGCATTCTTCCATGTGTTAAAGAGTCCATCCCTGCTACTGCTTGTGTGGACTCGAGATCACTCTCTTTACACTATGATTCTTTGTCTCTTGAATGGACTAGTTGTCTTTGCCTCAATCTCAAGCATAGGGGACTTAAGGACCTAAAGGATATAAACATAAACGTATAAGAGAACTGAAAATAAATGAAAATATATGAAGAAGAAAAGCAAGAAAACATGAAAGAAATCTATACAAATGTAAGGTACCAATGTGTTGCAGTTGTGTGATTCAGGACTGAGAGTAAAAAGTGATCATGTTTGAATAGATACATCATAAATGTTCTATAGCCTATCTGAAATATTGTTTTTCTACTTGGCAGACAATGGCACATGGACTCAGCTCTGGTTGGTGTCAGATTATCATGAGCATGGATCCCTTTTTGATTATTTGAACAGATACACAGTTACTGTGGAAGGAATGATAAAACTTGCCCTGTCCACAGCAAGTGGACTTGCCCATCTTCACATGGAGATAGTTGGTACCCAAGGTAACTCAAAGTAGTCCTGTTATTTAAGCTTTTAAATTCCCATGGGTCTAATGTCTTTTCAGAAAATTTTTGCAAGAAGTCAGCCGAAGTGGAAATGTTTAAAATGAGTTTTTATATGAGAATATTTTAGCTTTCTGTTGAAAATCTAACGTAGAGTTAGGAATCTAGGAATTTGATTAGAGATTCTCTAGTCGTTATAACAATACTGGTATTTTGGTAAGTTCTTAAAAGCAGTGTTTAGTCTTGTGATTTTTGAGGATCTTGATTTTGGAATTTATCTATAGTACCAAATGAAATGTGAAAATGCTCTGTAACATCCAACATGCTACATAAATGTTATCTGACCATCTGATAGTTGCATTTGACCCCAGGACAAGGGGATTGCATGAGTTAGTGCTGTGCTATGGCTTTATTGAGTTATAATTCACATACTGTGTCACATACAATAAACTAGAAAATTCTTAAAGAGATGGGAATACCAGACCACCTTACCTGTCTCTCTAGAAACCTATATGCAAGTCAAGAAGCAACAGTTAGAATTGGACATGAAACAGAATAGACTTCAAAAACAACAGGTTCAAATTGGGAAAGGAGTGCAGCAAGGCTGTACATTGTCGCCCTGCTTATTTAATTTATATGCAGAGTACATCATGTGAAATACTAGGCTGGATGAATCACAAGCTGGAATCAAGACTGCTAGAAGAAATATCAACAAACTCAGAATGATGGTAATGATAGAAAGTGAAGAGTAACTAAAGAGCCTCTTGATGAAGGTGAAAGACGAGGGTGAAAAAGCTGGCTTAAAAGTCAACATTCAAAAAAGGAAGATCATGGCATCCAGTTACATCACTTCATGACAAATAGAAAGGGAAAAAGTGAAAGCAGTGACAGATTTTTTCTTGGGGTCCAAAATCACTGTGGACAGTGACTGCAGCCATGAAATTAAGACACTTGCTCCTTGGAAGGAAAGCTATGACAGACCTAGATCGAGTATTAAAAAGCAGAGACATCACTTTGCTGAGAGAGGTCTGTGTAGTCAAAGCTGTGGTTTTCCAGTAGTCATGTATGAATATGAGAGCTGGACCATAAAGAAGGCTGAGTGCTAAAGAATTGATGGTTTCAATCTGTGGTGCTGGAGAAGACTCTTGAGAATCCCCAGGACTGCAAGGAGATCAAACCAGTCAGTCCTAAAACAAAACCCTTTCATTGGAAGGACTGATGCTGAAGCTCCAGTACTTTGACCATCTGGTGCAAAGAGCCAACTCATTGCTAAAGACCCTGATGCTGGGAAAAATTGAAGGCAAAAGGAAAAGGGGTGGCAGAGGATGAGATGGTTAGATGGCATCACCAACTCCATGGACATGAGTTTGAGCAAACTCCAGGAGATCGTGAAGGACAGGGGAGCCTGGCCTGCTCCAGTCCACAGGGTCGCAAGGAGTCAGACATGACTTGGTGACTGAACAACAACAAACTGAGTTGTAATTCACATGCTATACAATTTACCCATTCGGTGTACAAATCAGTGGTTTTTAGTGTCATCAGTTTTGTCTAGCTATCACCACATTTTAAGAACATCTAAGAACATTTTCATCATCTCAGAAGAACCCTGTGGTTCTTAGCAGTCACTCCCCATGTCCCTCTAAGCTCTCTAGCCCTAGGCAACCTCTAATTTACTTTCCATCTACTGTTCAGTCACTACGTCATGTCTGACTCTTTATGACCATCTACAGATTTGCTTATTCTGGACATGGCATATGGAATCATACAATACGTGTCTTTTATAACTAGCTGCTTTCTCTTAGTATAGTTTCAAGGTTTATCCATGTTGCAGCACTGTCAGAAATTCATTCCCTTTTATGTCCAAGCAATATTTCATTATATAGATTTACCACATTCTGGGTGTCCATTCATCAGTGATGGACATTTGTTGTTTCCACTTTGGGCTATTATGAATAATGCTGCTATGAACACTGATGTACAAGTTTTAGTGTGGATACGTTTCCATTATCTTGGGTATATGCTTGGAGGTGAAGTTTCTGGATCAGACAGTAACTATAATGATTTGTGAAACTTGCCAGACTTTTTTTTTTTCCCCAAAGGGCCTGTACTATTTTATTGTACATTCCCACCAGCAGCCTCTGAGGGTTCCAAGTTTTACACAGTGTAATTATTTTATAATAGCACTTTTTCTAGTATTTAGTATTAAAGGCATTATACATTTAATGAATATATTGCACCTGATAGGCAAAAGAAGTGATGTAGATTTTTGGTTCTTGGACTGGAATATTAGTACCTAGGAGTCCTATAAAAAAAGATTCATAGGGTGTCAACAAACTAGTATCTTTAACCCCCTGGTTTTTGAGTGTTAGACTTATATTTTTTGAACATCATCTGTTTCCTTTGAAATGTAATTTCATCAACTTCTTGTGCGCTGATTGATGTAAGGGCCCGGGTATTACAGTGATGGGGGTGAAACACTTCAGACGCTGGGATGGGAGGACCTAAAGGGGAGGTTTGTGATTGGTATCACCCTTTAAGCGACCATGTTTAACTTTCTTTTTCTTTAGGAAAACCAGCGATAGCTCATAGGGATTTGAAATCAAAGAATATCTTGGTAAAGAAGAATGGAACGTGCTGTATTGCAGACTTGGGATTGGCAGTAAGGCACGATTCGGCCACAGATACCATCGACATTGCTCCAAACCACAGAGTGGGAACAAAAAGGTACACTCATCACAGCGTGAACACGGCTATGGTTACGTTCTGAAATTGACTTCGTTTCCTTCTCATTTCTAGATACATAACTTTTCTGAAACTCAAAACCTTGTACTTTGTTAGGTTGCTCACAGGTAGAAGATCTCATGGTCTTGCCTGCTCTGAAATCACGGTTAGCTAACTTACAAAGGTTACTGCTGATGAACGGTAACCTTTCCAGAAAATACTACCATTAGTTATGTTATCATGAGCAGTTAATATTTATGGGGTAACTACTGTGTACCAGTCATTTTAATGTGTCTCATGTATATTACATCATTTAATGTTCTCTTCAAATGTTGTGCTGTAGTTTGCCCAACTTTTTATATTTTTATTTCCTAAAAACATACCTTTATCTCTTCAAACTTTCACATGTGCTGTATCCCTACCCTTTTGGGCACCCGGGACTTATTGTTTTGAAGATGATTTTTCCAAGGACCAGGGGTGGGGAAGATGGTTTCAGGATGATTCAAGCACATTACATTTACTGTGCACTTTATTTTTATTCTAATGCTGCCGCTGATCTGACAGGCAGTACCACAGTTTGTGGGCCCAGCCTCTGTCCTAGAGCATATACTCCTGTTTCCTTACCTTGTACTCCATCTCCCTTTCCCAGAGGAATCTTTTTCTGGACTGTTGGATGTCCTTGTCAGGCACCCACGTTGCATGCTAAATCTGGACCACTTAGCACATTATAACTGTTCACTGATCTGTATATTCCCAGCATCCATCACAGTGCCTAGAACATAGTAGGTCCTCAGTAAGTATTTGTTGAATCTATGAGTACTCCCCTGGTAGCTCAGTCAGTAAACAATCTGCCTATCATATGGGAGACCCAGGTTGGATTCTTGGGTCAGGAAGATCCTCTGGAGAAGGGAATGGTAACCCACTCCAGAATTCTTGCCTGGAAAAGCCCACAGACAGAGGAGCCTGGTGGGCTACAGACCATGGGGTCACAAAGAGTCGGACGTGACTGTGCGACTACCACACACACGAGTACTCAAAGAGCCCAGGCAGGTAAGGATCACTGCCCTCAGCTCACAGATGAGGAACCAGCTTGTGAGGGTTCTGTGGCCGGCCAGCCTCACGGGTGGAGAGCTGAGAGCTGAACCTGGGCCTTTCTGACCCAAAATGCTTTGCTGTGTGTATCACAGCATTTCGCCCCCACATACCCTCAAACTGCTTTGCTGGACTTGAACAGAGCTGAATTTTATTCTATCTCAGCTGTATTTATGGATTCAGTGGGGACTCTCAGATCTCCTGACTCAGGGTTCCAGGCAGTGGTTGCTGCTGGTCTGTGTGAGTCCTAATCTGTAACCTTAGTAGGATGTTTGAAACCTCAGAACTGTGCAATATGGGATCAATAAGGACTGGCATTCATTTTTGTCTATTATTTTGTTCCCTGGAGTATGTCCTTGCCTTTCCTTTTCTCCTGTTTTAGTGAGAAGACTTCTAGACTGAAATACATAATCCCTGCATAGCACACAGCAAAGCAGGTGGTGTATAGTAGAGCAGGTGGTGTATAGTAGGACGCCTAGGATGTGGGTCAATGGAGGCAAGGAGCATAAAATTGCTATTTCAGCTTTTTATGGGATTTGGAGTAAACCACTGGAGATATTTATTTTTCTTGAGTCTAATATGATCTCAGTTATGTGTGGAGGCTCAGGCTTCAGAAATCAGACCTGACGGGGTCTGGGATGGGATGTACATCCTGAAGGGGTTAGAGTCTGATGTGACTGCATCTGAGGATGTACGCAGCGGAAGCCTGGGCTGCCTTAGAGGCCAGGCGTCGTTGTGTGGGCCGCTTTCCCCTGCATTAGCAGGACAGCAGGACACCACCTCCAGGGACAAGAACACCAGGACCAGGTATCTGCATACCCTTTGTCAAAGGGGTAATGACCAGTATGCCGAGGAGAGAGGCGACAGGCGTCCACACCAAGACAGACCTTGTACCACAGCTACGGGGCTCCCACCTGTAAACAGTCCTCAGAGACCATCCAGACAACTGTTTCTCCTAAACTCACAAAGTGATGCTGTGAAAGTGCTGCACTCAATATGCCAGCAAATTTGGAAAACTCAGCAGTGCCCACTGCTGGACTGGAAAAGGTCCATTTTCATTCCAATTCCAAAGAAAGGCAATGCCAAAGAATGTTCAAACTACCGTACAATTGCACTCATCTCACATGCTAGCAAAGTAATGTTCAAACTTCTCCAAGTCAGGTTCAGCAATATGTGAATCATGAACTTCCAGATGTTCAAGCTAGATTTAGAAAAGGCAGAGGACCCAGAGATCAAATTGCCAACATCTGTTTGATCATCAGAAAAGCAAGAGAATTCCAGAAAAACATCTACTTCTGCTTTATTGACTACGCCAAAGCCTTTGACTGTGTGGATCATAACAAACTGGAAAATCTTCAAGAGATGGGGAATACCAGACCACCTGACCTGCCTCCTGAGAAATCTGTATGCAGGTCAAGAAGCAACANCTCACTAGAAAAGACCCTGATGCTGGGAAAGATTGAAGGTGGGAGGAGAGGGGACAACAGATGATGAGATGGCTGGATGGCATCACCGACTCAATGGACATGAGTTTGATTAAGCTCCAGGAGTTGGTGATGACAGGGAAGCCTGGAATGTGCAGTCCACGGGGTTGCAAAGAGTCAGACATGATGAGCAACTGAACTGAAACTCACAGAAGAGAAAATAAGTAAAATGAAGAAGCAGAGGAACCACTCCCAGTTGAAAGACCAAGAGAATTCCCTTGAAAGAACAATGAAACAGACCTCTTCAGTCTAGTAGGCACTGATTGCAAAAAGAAGACTGAAAATACTGAAGGAATTGAAAAAGGCTATCAACAGAAATACAGAGGACTGTGAAAAAGGAATTAGAAACTATAAACAGGAACCAAGAAAAATTAGAAAACTCACTTGCAAAGACAAAAACTGAAGTAAAGGCAATGAATAGCAGAGTAAATAATTAAGAAGAACGAATATGTGACCTGGAAGATAGAATATGAAAACTGCCCAATTGGGGCAGCAGACAGCCAAATGAAAAAAAGGCACCTGTGGGCTAAGATAAAGTATGCCAATCTATGCATAATAGGAATTCCAGAAGGAGAAGAAAGAGAAAAAGAGGTTGAAAATGAATTTGAAGAAATTATGACTGAAACCTTCCCATACCTAAAGAACAAAACACATATTCGGGTGCAGGAGGCATTGAGGGTCCCAAACAAGGTAAACTCAGAGAGGCCTACAGCAAGACACATTATATACAGCAAGTTAAAGACGAAAAGTTAAAGAGGAAAATCCTAAAGGAAGTAAGACAAAAAGTTAGTTACAACGGATTCCCCCATAAGATTATCATCTGTTTCCACTACAGAAATGTTGCAGGCTAGAAGAAAGTGGCAAGATATATTCAAAGTCCTAAAAGAGAAAAATCTGCAACCTAGGATCCTCTACGCAGCAAGGTGATCATGTGGGAAGAGATGAAGAATTTCACAGAAAAGCAAAAACTGAAAGTACACAGCAAAACACTAACCCTTTCTGAGGGGACCCTGGAAAGTCTCCCCTACAGAAAAGGGGTGATGCTCCATCGGGGAAAAGGAGGAAAAGTCACAACTGAAAAGCAAATTACTGAAATAAGCCTGCACACAGATTTTACAAATTTCTGTGAAAGTGATAACCACAATGAACAGCAAAAGAATGAAGATGAAGATATAAAAGTGGACATCTAAATCATAAAATATGGGGGAGGAAAGTAAGAAAATATAGGGTTTTTTTTTTTTCTTTCATTTCCTAGATATGTTTGAGCCTGTATGCCTACCTATCTAAGGCAAGTAGATACAGGACAGGATTAACGTATTTGAAAAATAGAGTAACCACCAATGAAAAACACAGTAAATTCACAGAAACCAAAAAGAAAATAAGTATAACACAGAGGAAATTCATCAAACCACTAAAGGAAAACAGAGAAATAGAAACGGACAAAGAAGAAATACAGAATCAATGGGAAAACAGAGTCAAAATGGAAGTAAATATGTATATATCAATAGTTGCTTTAAATGTCCGTGGACTGAATACTCTAGTCAAAGACAGAGGGGCAAACATTTGCATAGCAAAGGAAACCATAAACAAAACCAAAAAGACAACCAATGAATGACAGAAAATATTGGCAAATGAAATGACCACCAAGGGATTAGTCTCCCAAATTTACAAACAACTCATGTGGCTCAATATTAAAGAAAAATAACCACCCAATCAAAAAACGGGCAGAAGATCTAAGTAGACATTTCCTCAAAGAAGACATACAGATGGCCAAAAAAGCACATGAAAAGGTGCTAAACATCACTAATTAGAGAAGCCCAAATCAAAACTTTACAAGAATGTATCACCTCAGAGATGTCAGAATGGCCATTATCATCATAAAAAAAAAAAAAATCTACAGACAATAAATGCTAGAGAGGGTGTGGAGAAAAGGGAATTCTCCTACACTGTTGGTGGATGAAAACTGGTACAGCCACCATGAAGAACAGTATGGAGGTTCTTTAAAAAACCAGAAATGAAACTATCATATGATCTAGCAATCCCACTCTTAGGCATATATCTGGGAAAAACTATACTTTGAAAAGACACATGCACCCCAGTGTTCATTGCAACACTATTTACAGCAGACGAGACAGTCTGCCCAGATGAATGGATAAAGAAGATACAGTGTGTATACACACACACACACAATGAAATATTCCTCGCCCATTAAAAAAGGAAATGCTGGTTGTGGTAACACCGGTGGACCTAGAGATTATCATACTAAGCGAAAGTAAATCAGAGAAAGACAAATAGCGTATCACTTACACGTGCAGTCTTAAAAAATGACACAGATGGACGTATCTATTTATGAAACAGAGTCAGAGGCTTAGAAAACAAACTTAGGGTTACTAAAGGGGAAACGTGGAAAGGATGATAAAGTATAGGTTTGCGATTAACATACACACAATGGGCTTCCCTGGTAGGTCAGCTGGTAAAGAATCTGCCTACAATGCAGGAGACTCTGGTTCAATTCCTGGATCAGGAACATCCCTGGAGAAGGACAGGCTACCTACTCCAGCATTCCTGGGCTTCCCTGGGGGCTCAGACGGTAAATCTGCCTGCAATGCAGGAGACCTGGGTTTGATCCCTGGGGTGGGAAGATCCCCTGGAGGAGAGCACGGCAACCCACTCCAGGATTCTTGCCTGGAGAGTCCCCATGGACAGAGGAGCCTGGTGGGCTGCAGCCCATGGGTCACAGAGAGTCAGACACAGCACAGCACACGCACAGTACTATATATAGAACAGATACTCAACGAGAACCTGCCATCTAGTATAGGGGACTAGGTCAACTCGGCACTCTGTGATAACCTATGTGGGAAAGCAATAGATCTGTGTGTGTGTAAATGAATCACTTTGCTCTACACCTGAAACACACAAATCAGCTATCCCCAAATATAAAATTAAAAATGAGAATAAAGATAAACTCTCAAAGAGAGTAGATCTCTCAATATTCTGTGGTAAACCTAATGGAAAATAATGTATAACTGAATTACTTTGCTGTACAATAGAAATAAACATTGTATATCAACAATACTTCAAAAAAATAATTTTTTTAAAATAGGAAAGGGTGGCAGATTTATTGTTTTAATCCAGAGCCTACAACATGCTGCCTGTAAGGCCCACTTTAGGGCAGAGGGACACACATAGATCAAAAGTGATGAGACGGAAAAATATTTCTTGTAAACAGAAATGAGAAGAAAGTGGGGAATCACTCTTGTCAGACAGCACAGACTTTCAAACAAATATGATAAAGAAAGATAGATAGGGACACTATTGAAAAAAGGATTAATTTAGGAAGAGGATCTTATACTCATCAGCATATACACACCTAATGTAGGAGTATCTAAATACATAAAACAAATACCAACAAACATAAAGAGAGAAATCGATGGGAAAACAAGAAGAGTAGGAGATTTGATTGAACACCCCACTCACATCAATGGCTAAATCTTGTAGACAGAAAATCAGTAAAGCAAGAGAGATCCTACACAACACAACAGAATTATGGTAAATTGATATTTTCTGGACATTAAAAAACAAAACACATCCTTTTCAACTGCACCTGGAATATTCTCTAGGATTGATCACCTTCTCGGGCATAAAACAAGCCTCAACAAATTTAAGAGTGTAGAAGTTATCTCACATTTTTCCTGACCACAACAGCATTAAACTAGATATCAACCATAGAAAAAGAAATGAGGGGAGAAAATAAGTTACACAGAGACTCAACAACATACTACCAATACTAAAATACCAATGGGTCAATGATGAAATCAGAGAGGAAATTTAAAAATACCTTGAGACAAATGACAGTAAAAACAGCCATACAAAACCTATGGAATGGGACTTCTCTGGTGATTCAGTGGCTGACTCCAAGCACCCAATGCAGGAAGCCCAGGTTCCACCTGTGAACTAGGCCCCGTGTGCAGCAGCTGAGACCCGGCGCAGGCATCTTCACTAAGGAGACCTATGGGAGGCGGCAAAAGCAGTGCTGAGAGGGGAGTGCACAGCGATGCAGGCCTTGCTCAAAAAACATGAAATACATCAAACAACCTAGCCTGCCACTTAAAAGAACTGGAGGAGAGCAAACAAAACCTAAAGTCAACAGAAGGAAGGAAAAAAATAAAGATCAGAGAGGAAATAGATAAAAGAGAGATTTTTTGGGGGGGGGGGGACATACAACCAAGACCTGCTTCTTTGAAAGGGTAAACAAAATGGACAAATCTTTGGCCAGGCTCACCAAGAAGAAATGAGAGAGAACCCAAATAAATGAAAAAGGAGACATAACAACTGATACTGCAGAAATACAAGAAACCATAAAGGAATACTATGTACGATTATATGACAACAAATTTGACAATGTAGACGGGGACAACAGAGGATGAGATGGTTGGATGGCATCACCAACTCAATGGATGTGAGTTTGAGTAAACTCTGGGAGTTGGGTGACAGACACGGAGGCTTGGCGTGCTGCAGTCCATGGGATCGCAAAGAGTCAGACACAACTGAGTAACTGAACTGAAGAAACATACAAGTTTCTAGAAACATACAGTCCACCAAAAAAATTAATCAAGGAAAAACACATGATTTGACCAGACTGATTACTAGAGGTGAAATACAATCTGTCATTTCAAAACCTCCAACAAACTAAAGTCCAGGACCAGATGGCTCCATGGGTGAGTTCCACGAGACACACAAAATAATTTATATCATTGCTTCCAAAAAACTGAAGAGGTGGGAATTATAGAATGCCCACTACCAAAGGCATTCTATAATGCCACCATCACTCTGAAATCAAAACTAGACAAAGAACCACCAAAAAAGATATATACAGGTCAATATATCTGATGAATGTAGATGCAAAAATTCTTAACAAAATAGCAAACTGAATCCAACAGCGCACAAAAAAATGTCATACACCACAACCAAGTGGGATTCATTGCAAGTTCACAAGGATGATTCCACATAAACAAATCAATGTGATACACCTCATAACAAAAGATAAAAACCACACGATCATCGCAATTGATGCAGAAAAAGCATTTGACAAAATTCAACATCCCTTCATTGCAAAAACTCTTTACCAAAAAAGTGGGTATTGAGGGAACATAATAAAAGCTGTTTATGACAAACCCACAGCCAGTATAATACTCAAAGGTGAAAAGCTGAAAGCCCTTTTGCTAAAATCTAAAACAAGACAAGGATGCCCATTCTCACCTCTTCTACTAAACATTGTAGTATTGGAAGTTGTGGCCACAGCAGTCAGGTCAGAAAAAGATATAAAAGGTATCCAAATTGGAAGGAAAAATTTAAACTGTCCTTATATGCAGATGACATGATTACATATATATATATATATACACACACACACACATATATATACACAGAAAACCCTAAAGACTTCACACAAAAATTACTAGAAGTGATAAATTAATTCAGCAAGGTAGCAGGATACAAAGCAAACAAGATGATTCAAAGAAATGGAATGTTATCCCATGTCTTGGATTAGAAGAATTAGTATTGTTAAAATGGCCATACTGCCCAAAGCAATCTATAGATTTAATGTGATCCCTATCAAATTAGCCATGACATTTGTCAGAACTAGAACAAATAACCCTAAAGTTTATATGGAATCATAAAAGACCCAGAATTGCCAAAGCCATCCTGAAGAAAAAGAACAAAAGATGAACCATAACCCTCCCAGACTTCAAACAATACTACAAAGATACAGTAATCGAAACAGCATGGTACTGGCACAGAAACATTTATACGGATCAGTGAAACAGAATAGAGAGCCCAGAGATAAACCCATACCCCTAAGGCCTCTTCGACAAAGGAGGCAAGAATATACAATGGGAAAAAGACAGTCTGTTCAGCAAGTGGTGTTAGCAAAGTTGGACAGCCACATGGAAATCGATGAGGTTAGAACATACCCTCTCACCATACATAAAAATAAACTCAAAATGGCCTAAAGACTTTAAGACGTGACATCAAAAACTCCTTGCAGAGAGCATAGGCAAAATGTTCTGACATAAATCATACTAGTGTTTTCTTAAGTCAGTCTCCCAAGGCAGTGGAAGTAAAGAAACAAATGGGACCTAATCAAACTTACAAGCTTTCAGCACAGCAAAGGAAACCATTAAAAAAAGGAAAAGACAACCTACAGAATCGGAAAAAATATTTGCAAATGATGCAGCTGATAAGGGCTTAATTTCCAAAATATGTAAACAGCTCATAGAACTCAACAATCACAACAGAAAAACAAGCAACTTAATAGCAAAAATGGACAAGACACCTAAATGGGCATTTCTCCAAAGAAGAAATACAAATGGCCAATAGGCACATGAAAAGATGCTCAATATCACTAATTATTAGAGAAATGCAAATAAGAACTGCAGTGAGGTAGTGCAGTGAGTGGCCGGTCAGAATGGCCATCATTAAAAACTACAAATAACAGATGCTGGAGAGGATGTGGAGAAAAGGGAACTCTCTCACACTGCTGGTGTGAATGTAAGTTGGTACAACCACTATTGAAAACCGTATGGAAAAAGCGAAAAACAGAATTACCATGTGGTCCAGCAGTCCCACTTCTGGCTATGTATCCAGAAAAAACTCTAATCCACAAAGATACATGTACCCCCTATGTTCACAGCAGCATTATTTCACAATAAACAAGACATGGACACATCCTAAATGTCTAGTGACAGATGAGCTGGTAAATGTGGTGGATATGCCCAATGGAATACTCCTCAACCATAGAAAGAGTGAAACAGTGCCATTTGCTGCAACATGGACGCAACTAGAGATTGTCATGATAAGTGAAGGCAGTCAAGAGAGACAAATTTTGTCATATTTGTGTGGGATCTAAAATAGGACACAAATGATCCTATCTGCAAATTAGACTGAGGGACATAAAGAACAGACTTGTGGCTGCTGGAGGGGAGGGTGTTGGGAGTGGGAAGCTGGAGTCAGCAGATGCAAAAGCCGTTACATGCAGAACGGGTCAGCCGCATCCTGCGTGCATCACAGGCTGTAAACAGCAATGGAAAAGACTGTCTTAAAAAGAATGTATATGTAACTGAATCACTTGGCTGTGTGTGTGTATATATATATATATAACTGAATCACTTTGCTGTGTGTGTGTGTATATAACTGAATCACTTTCCTGCACAGCAGAGATTAACAATATCATTAGTCATTAAAAAGCAGCAGAACCACAGTGAAAGGAGGAAAGGTCACAGTTAATATTGCTCCCCACCTCCCCGGCCTCTCTGCCCAGGAGTAAAAGAAAGATGATGGAACAATTTAAAAAGCAATGTTACTATTGCATAAAATGAAGTGCTGACTTCTTTTTTAGGTATATGGCCCCTGAAGTTCTAGATGATTCCATAAATATGAAACACTTTGAATCCTTCAAACGCGCTGACATCTATGCGATGGGACTAGTATTCTGGGAAGTAGCTCGACGGTGTTCCATCGGTGGTAAATTTCTTTCCCTTCCCCCAATATTTTGTCACAAACAAACTTGATTAAGAATTGACTTTCTTATTGACTGAAATTGTTTACCCAGTGACCAATGAGAGTGCCAGAGAGATGACACCACATGCTTTATCCTTGTGCATGGCTCTATCCTGATAGCAGCTTTATTCCAGTGTGGTCTTTTTCTAGTTCCACTTGGAATTTTGGGATGCAACAGAAATCAACCCCTTGTTATCTTGCAATATAGATATTTAGAATGAATGACTGCTTGTGAGGCCACCCAGGAAGCTATTTCTAGCATGTACTGGAGTCAAACTGATTTTTTTACCCTCGAGATTCTCATGATTTTCTCCATCTGATAGTGGAAATTACATATGCAAAATGCAAATACACTATCACTGCATTACTTTTTACAGTACGTTTGTGCTAGATGGAGCACTTTGAATGTTTACTTGAGAAACAGTCTTCTCCCTGAGAACCCAGGCTCACCTGAGACTAAGGCCTCAGGTTTTCGAGGCAGTGAGGCGTGGAGTAGCAAATCGGACAGGTTATTAAATGACACAAGTGGAGGAAGGGACTTGCACTCGGGCCTGCCATGCAGGAGTCACACCTTAGTGAGAGTGTGCATCCTTTTACCAGCTGATGCTGTGCACTTGCAGAATAAAGGCTTTCATTTCAATAAAGACATCTAGGAGAAAATGTCAGTCTGGTCATCACAACTCACCATTATTAAAACAGCCTTTGCTGATTGTATTGCAAAATTTAGTTTCACAGTGTGGGCTCAGTACTGACTGAAGGAGGTGGGCTGTAGATGCAGACATGGATGGATAAGAGAGCGCAGGCTGTTCCACTTGCCCGTTTCAGTAATGGGACACTGTGACAGAATCTCCAGCTGTTCCTTTTCTGTCTGGTCAAAGATTGTTCTGACATTATCTGAGTAAATCTTTCAAAATAGTTTTTTTTTTTTAATTCTTTACCAATGTAGGAATTCATGAAGATTACCAGCTGCCTTATTATGATCTTGTACCTTCTGATCCATCAGTTGAAGAAATGAGAAAAGTTGTTTGTGAACAGAAGTTAAGGCCAAATATTCCAAACAGATGGCAGAGCTGTGAAGTGAGTATTTATTTTGGGTACTATACAGTTTTCTAAACTGCTTCTGGTTAGTATGTGGAAATTTACTACTTTTCTTTAAGGAAAACAGAAGTAAGAATTCCCATTCCTTTATTTTTCATAGCTAATTAAATCAATGAGTAAAAACAGAGTAATTTGTTTTTTATGTTCAATTTCAAGTACATCGCAAAGGCCATGGAACCTTTTTAGTGGCCATCAGTTTATTAGAATAGTGTTTGGATCTGTCAGTGAAAGAAAGCTCCTGCATTTTAAAGCTTCCTGGCTGTCCCTGGTGGCTCAGTGGTAAAGAATCCGCCTGTCATTGCCGTTAACACGGGTTCAATCCCTGATCTGGGAAGACCCCCAGAGGCCACAGAGCAACTAAACCCATGCACCACAACTTACTGAGCTCTAGAGCCCGGGGGTTGAAACTTCCTGAGGCCCACACGCCCTAAAAGCCTGTGCTCTGCAACAAGAAGCCACCACAAAGAGAAGTCCAAGCACCACAACCAGAGAGCAGCCCTCGCTCGCCACAGCTAGAGAAGAGCCCAGCGCAGCAGTGAAGACCCCGCACAGACAAAACATACACCAGGGCAGCCCAGGACAGCGGGCTGTGTGCTGGCTGGAATCAGGAGGCCTGTATTCTAGATCAGCCTGGCTACCATACATTTCAGTCTGACTTCAGGCAAGGCGCTTCAGTTCTTGGGACCTTAATATGCCTTTTTGTAAAATAAGGGATTTGGATGATTGTGAAGGTGGTTCAGATGATCTTACATTTTATTCATTTCACTGTTTGACTATTCATCAGGAATTTGTGGAAACTGCTTTTTAGCAGTATCTGAGCTTTTCAACCTCAGCTCTTACAAAAAGTTTTAGAAATATTTTTGTAGTTGTACTTTCAAAGACTTTATAAGAAAATATTTAATTTATCCTCAATTGCTAACTTTTACTAACAGAAGATATTAAGAATACACAGAAAAACTGTACAGAAAATGTCTTAATGACCCAGATAACAGGATTGTGTGATCACTCACCTAGAGCCAGACATCCTGGTGTGTGAAGTCAAGCAGACCTTAGGAAGCATTACTACAAACAAAGCTAGTGGAGGTGATGGAATTCCAGCTATTTCAAATCCTAAAAGATGATGTTAAAGTGCTGCACTCAATATGCCAGCAAATTTAGAAAACTCAGCAGTGGCCACAGGACTGGAAAAGGTCAGTTTTCATTCCAGTCCCAAAGAAGGGCAATGCCAAAGAATGTTCAAACTGCCACACAATTGCACTCGTTTCACATACTAGTAAGGTAATGCTCAAAATCCTTCAAGCTAGGCTTCAACAGTATGTGAAACAAGAACTTCCAGATGTACAAGTTGGATATAGAAAAGGCAGAGGAATCAGAGATCAAACTGCCAACATCTGTTGGATCATAGAAAAAGCAAGGGAATTCCAAAAAAACCTTCTGCTTCATTGACTATGCTAAAGCCTTTGACTGTGTGGATCACAACAAACTGTGGAAAATTCTGAGAGAGATGGGAATACCAGACCACCTTACCTGCCTCCTGAGAAACCTGTATGCAGTCAAGAAACAACACTTAGAACCAGACATGGAAATAGCAAAGTGGTTTAAAATTGGGAAAGGAGTATTGTCAAGACTATATTGTCACCCTGCTTATTTAGCTTATATGCAGAGTACATCATGTGAAATGCTGGGCTGGATGAACCCCAAGCTGGAATCAAGATTGCCAGGAGAAATATCAATAACCTCAGATATGCAGATGACATCACTCTAATGACAGAAAGTGAAGAGGAACTAAAGAGCCTCTTGATGAAGGTGAAGGAGGAGAGTGAAAAAGCTGGGTTAAAGCTCAACATACAGAAAACTAAGACCATGGCATCCAGTCCCATCACTTCATGGCAAATAGGTGGGAAAAGAATGGAACAGTGAAAGACTATTTTCTTGGGCTCAAAAATCACTGTGAACAGTGACTACAGTCATGAAATTTAAAAAGATGCTTGCTCCTTGGAAGAAAAGCTATGACAAACCTAGACAACATTAAAAACAGAGATATCACTTTGCCAACAGAGGTCTGTCTAGTCAAAACTATTTCATGTATGGATGTGAGAGTTGGACTATAAAGAAAGCTGAGCACTGAAGAATTGATGGTTTCAAACTGTGGTGTTGGAGAAGACTCCTGGGAGTCCCTTGGACAATAAGGAGATCAAACCAAGTCAGTCCTAAAGGAAATCAACCCTGAATTTTCATTGGAAGGGCTGGTGCTGAAGCTGAAGCTCCAATACTTTGGCCACCTGATGTGAAGAGCTGACTCACTGGAAAAGACCCTGATACTGGGAAAGACTGAGGGCAGGAGAAGCAGGTGACAGAGGATAAAATGCTTGGATGGCATCACCGACTCAATGGACATGAGTTTGAGCAAACTCTGGGAGATAATGAAGGACAGGGAAGCCTGGTGTGCTGCAGTCCATGGAGTCAGAAACAGTCGGACACGACTGAGTGAGCAACCACCACTATTACGATACTATTATAATATTGGTAAAGCATTTCCCTTTAGAGTTGATGTTTTGCAGTGCAGGAAGAATAAAAAGCTGTTCACTTAAGTAGTTTATTTTACATCTTAAATTAACGTAGACCTCAGTCTGCATACCTGTGAGATCAAGAGAGTTCCTTGGGTACCTCCAATGAAATCAAGTATCCAGGCCCAGACAAAATATATTGTGTGCTCACGGAACCTGCATGTTTAACAAATGAAATTGGGCTAGATTTTGTCTTTGAAAAATTTCATCTTGATACCACAAACTGGAATTATTCATGCACTCATTCAATAAGCAAATTAGAGCAAATTACTATTAAACAGATGGCTAATTAAGCATAAAGGAAAGTTAGTAGTTAACATTAAAAACCTACATGCAAGTTGCAATTACTGTCACAGCATGTTGAATTAATGCCATCACTGTCATTTTAGGTTTTTTCTCTATTTGGCTAGTTTTGTATCGCTAACTTAATCTTTCACTTTTCTTGGGTTTTACAAGTCTCCCCTCAGTAGCTGAAATACATCGAGGATTTGAAACTGATAGGATGCCTACGGAAGTGTTTTCCAGAGCCCTCTGGCCTTTTCCAGTCTGGCTACCCCTCACCTTTCACCTGTGATCTCTTTTGCCTCTTGTGGTAACTGCCTTTCTGAATCCCATATCTTCACATTTCTTTTGCTCATTATCCCCCTCTTCCAGCTCTTTGCTCAGATGTTACCTTGTCAGTGAGACGTTACCTGTGAACCTATTTAAAATAGCACTTTTTTCCCCTGGCATACTTTAGCTCCTTCCCTAAATGATGTTTCTCCTCAGCATTTGCCGCTGACAGCCCATGTATTTTGCTTAGTTATTAACTGTGTGCTTTAGCCCTCTGTAACATGAGCTTTGTGAGAGTGGAGCTGTTGTCTGTGAGATCACTGCTGTGTCTGTTACTACCCTACTAGATGTGTGGAGGACGGTATCTGGATTATGGCACTCGGTTTGCCGGATGATTTTATGCATGTCCTGAAGCCTTGGTCATTTTTACCTGAAAACAAATGTTCATTTCTAGGAAATTTTCCTCAAGTATTTCCTTGATGTGTTCCCTTCCATTTTCTTCTGTTCTTTTTCTTCAGCTCTGGTTATGAATGTGGACATCCTGAACAGGCATTCTGATTTTCTTGTGTTTTCTTTCCTATTACCCATCTCTTTGTTCTCTTTTCTCTACTTTCTGGGAAAGGAATCCACTTTTATCTTTTGGTTTTAGTATTATTATTATTCAGGTTTATCTTGTAGTTCTATAAAACTTTCCCCAAACCAAACAAAACCCAAAAAAGCATTGGTAAGTCCAGTATCAGTATTTTCTTTTACCTCTTTGAAGATACTAATGATGGCCTGTTGATACCGTCTTCTGTACATCTTGTGTTTTTTCTGTTTGTCTCAGTTTCTGCGTTTCATGTTCCTTTCCTGAAATGTTTGGTCAGGCTCAGGCTCTATGTATAAACGCAGCACTGAGAGCTGATGGGAAGCTTTGTGCACATGAATGCAGCTCATCGTCACTGCAGGCTGAGTGTGAAGGAACTGGACTGCTTCTTTGGAAACCACTGATGTCACTCTCTAGGCTTTTCTTCTTGGGCTGAGGACTCTTCTGGTCTCTTACCTGGAGGAGTCACTGGCCGTGTTCTGGGGAGAAAGTTTACTGCCTTGGCGTTCAGTGTGTGGTCATGTGGAGTTTTGCCCTCGTTTCCCCAAGACAGCATCTGTTCTGCGCGCAGATTGAATGAAGCCTCTCGTCTTCTGTTGGGATGGGGTGGGGGGTCACCCAGCTGTGTGAATTGGGGCAGGGCAGGTATCTGGGCTTCCAGCTTCTTTGGCTGATTCTATTTTTGCCCTGAACATCACCTCAGGGATACAGGATATAAGTTAATTCCTCGGTTTTGGGGGCCGTTTCATGTGAGTCAGGTTCCCTCTTTGCCTTGCACAGCTCTGTTTGAGGATTCAGCTTTCTCAGGCTGCAAAGTCAATCCTCCCTTGTCCATCTGCTTTCCAGCTGCTGGCACCAGTATCCTGCTGATGGGAATTTAGGTCATCTTTACTCATTTGCTATTACAAATAATGCTGAAACAGAATTCCTTGTATGGCGTTTAAAAAGAAAATTTACAGGTAAAGATTATTATCCAGGTCTTTGAAAAGTGGTGCATGCATTAATGATCTTTCTTTTCTCTTCCTGTAGGCCTTGCGAGTAATGGCTAAAATTATGAGAGAATGTTGGTATGCCAATGGCGCAGCTAGGCTTACAGCCCTGCGGATTAAGAAAACATTGTCACAACTCAGTCAGCAGGAAGGCATCAAAATGTAAATTATGTGGCTCTGCCTGAACTCTGCTTCTTCTTCAGATCTGCTCCTGGGTTTTACTTTGGGAGGTCAGTTGTTCTACCTCACTGAGAGGGAAGAGGAGGATATGGCTTCCTTTTACGGCGATGTAGAAAGGTGAACTAAGGCGTCCCAGCATTTCTTCAGGCCCAGGAAGCCACCATGTGGGGTCCTTTCTGTGTGCGACGAACACTTTCCCAGGACAGTTACAAAGTGTTGTGTAGGCTACCTTTATTTTTTATTAACACAAACCTTGTTTTTTTAAATGATTGCTGGTCTTAACTTTAGGTAACTGCTGTGCTGAAGATCATCTTTAAGGGTAAAGGAGCTGGATGGCTGAGTTATATGAAACATTTCTTATTTTTAAAAAAAGTGATTTCTCCTGGTTAGTACATTCTCAGAGGATTCTGAACCACTAAAGAGTTTCTTTGATTTAGACTTTGAATGTACTGTTCTATAATTTTCAGGATCTTAAAACTAACACTTATAAACTCTTGAGTCTAAAAATGACCTCATATAGTAGTGAGGAACATAATTTATGCAATTGTATTTTGTATATTATTGTTCTTTCACATATTCAGAACATTACATGCCTTCAAAATGGGATTGTACTACACCAGTAAGTGCCACTTCTGTGTCTTTCTAATGGAAACGAGTAGAATTGCTTAAAGTCTGTGTGGTAAACCTGTCATGTTTTAACTCAGAAGTTTATTTACCTGGATAACCCAGACTTACTCTGTTTTGTTTTCTGGAAGAGTTTTTCTGGTATGTTATTTGGTATTCCATTTTGAAAATGCCTTTCTTCTACCAAAATGTGCTTAAACCACTAAAGAAATGAAATGGCATTAATTGGTAAATTGTTATCATGGTCATAAGTATTCTCATCAAGTTTTTGCATTTTAATTGTATTGTCTAAGTACACTTTTAAAAAATCAAGTGGCACTCTTGATGCTTATAGTACTTTAATAACTTAAAATCTGTAGCATACAGACAAATTTTTCTAAAAGGGAAAATTTGTCTAGCTGCTTGTGAAAAGTTGTGTGGCATTCTGTAAGCCATTTTTTTCTTTATCCAATCAAAGACAGTGTTATTTTTTTAAGAAATGAATTACGTTTAAAATTAGAATATGGTTAATGTTAAATAGGCTTCTTTCTAGGAAGGTAAAGGTAGTTGATAATTTGAATAGTAACAGGTATGTGAGAGTCACGTTGTTGTGTAGGAATCACTGTTCTGTGGACTTTCTGTCTTTGTAGCTAAGGTTAGGGTCAGTGTGGTTTTGAGGTCGCACTACACTTTGAGGAAGGCAGCTTTTAATTCAGTCTTTCCTTCTTTGTGCAGATACTGCAACTGCCTAATTTATATGGCTATGGAGTGAATTTGGTGTACCCTCAATATTTGGGAAAGTGATAGCTAAGGAATATTCCAAGGATAGATTCTCTATTTACAGATGTTTATGGTGAAATTAAATGTTTAAAGCAAATCTGTCATGGCCTTCTCACATGAAGTTGAAATTAGCTTATAATAACTGGTTTTACTTCCAGTGCTAAAAGTCTTTGCAGGATTTCTACAATTGTTCAAAGTCCTCTTTATCACTGTGATCTTAATCTGAGGGAGGAAAGTCTATCGTAGCTGTGAGGCAAGACCATACCTTATAGAGCTATCAATTTCCTGATGAAAGGGTCAGAGTAACCTTTACAGTATTTTGGTCAGGAAGAGATAGTGGCCATTTATGCTGACTGAGCTGCATTCTGATAACGTCTTATTTCTTATACATAGAAAAAATCTGAAAGACTGTTTGGTCTTAAAGCCAAAGTAATTTTAGAATGAATGACATACTTCATAGGAATTTAGTGTCAATTTCATGTGTTTAAAAACAACATGGGGAAAATATTGTTTAGAGGTTAATATTTTGAGTCCAAATTTGAGTTTTTCTGTAGTTACCATGATTTCATCAAAGCAAATGAGTGAGTTTGAGAGGTTTGTTTTTATAATTGTGTTACGTTTCCTGTTTAATAATCTCTAGCTCTATGATCAGGTACTTTTCTTTTTTTTTTTTTTTTGGCCATTTACAAGCCTACCAGATCTGCTTTATGAAATCCAGGGGACCAATGCATGTTAATCACTAAAACTATTTTTATATAATTTTAAGAACATACCAAAAGTTCTTGTCTGATTTAAAGTTGTGATACATGATTTCTCAGTTTCATATAAGGTAAAATCAACTTTTGCTGAAGATATTCTTTATTAAGTCAAAAAATGAGTTACAATTTTACTGTTCAGCCTAAATGTATAAAATCTACTTTTGATGTTATCAGGGAACTTTAAAAAAGTTGGAATTTAGTTCTAAATTGGGTTTACATGTTACTCTAGCTGATTCCTTTTTTTTTTTTCCCCAACAAATGAAGGTTTGACAAACCCCAATTGGCTAGTATTGAAAATGAAAGTAACTGAAAATATTTATGGATCATGATTGCTATGGCTATTCCTGCAGAAAAATTTGACTGGAGAAATATATTTAAAAACACAAGTCGTTGTGTTTACACTATCTTTCTTCAGATGCTCACTTTCCAAGGTTCAGCTTGGCTAAAGTAACCTTCAGGCAGACTGTCCATGTCCACTGCCAGTGCCCCCAGAGGAATGGGGACGAGGGGTGCGCCCAGCTTCCTGGGGTGCAGACAACCCTGGTCTTCTCCTCACACCTTGGCCCTGCCCCCCCTGACTGCCTTCCTGCTGGGCCTGCCTCTGAGTGGGCTGGCAGCTCTGGCAGTGGGAGTTGTGCCCGAAGCAGTGGCCAGCGTGTCTTCCGCAGGACGGGGTAAGGTCCAAGGAGCTGAGCCTGTAGTTACGCTGTAATGATGGTGCTCAGGAAGTGCCTTGAGTCAGGACACAGTGCTATGGTCATCGAGAACTCAAGTTTCCATTCTTAAAAAATGCCAGTGGTCACTTGGCCATTTTGCTGCTCATGCTGGAGTTAACCTTTTTTCCCCTCTACCTTAAAGAACTGTCACATACAGAATAATTTGTAAAACAAGATGATAAGTGCTAATTAAAACTCAAAACAACATGAGGATCCCGTCAGACATGTCATATCAAGAGTTTATTTTTACCCCTCCACTGAAGAGTGATTGTTAGTAAACTATTTCTTGACCATGGCAGTGCTCTGGCTCCAGATGGTGAGAGTCCAAATAATGGTTCTGTCACAGCTTGGCAGGAAAATGCCAGTTCGGATGCTTTTGAGAGTGTAAACAATAGCTCGTGACGTGTCCTGCAGCCTCTTCGTCTGTGTTGGGATGCTGTGATTCCCATGGGCCCTCTCCAGAAATGCTGGGCTTCTAGGACATTCTGAGGACTGTCAGCACAGTTAAACCTTTAGCCCTATTATGCAGTCTTATTTGTAACTGTAAACTTAAAAAAAAAGTGGTTAACAACATTCAACCAGTTTCTCAAAGCTTAAAAAGAACTTCAGTGAATGTTTTTATTTTTAAACAAGATTTGTGAATTGAGTATCATGAACTGTGTTTTGATATCCCTTTTTCACATTGTGCCAATGGAATGGGGTGTTTGATATTTCTTTACATGTCAAGGAGATGCTTCAAAATGTCAATTGCTTTAAACTTAAATTACCTCTCAAGAGACCAAGGTACATTTACCTCATTGTATATATGATGTTTAATATTTGTCAGAGCATTCTCCGGGTTTGCAGTTTTATTTCTATAAAGTATGAGTATTATGTTGCTAAATTACTCAAATGGTACTGTACTGTTTATATTTGTACCCCAAATAACATCTATACTTTGTTTTCTGTATTTTATTGTATTTGTGCAAAATTCTTTTGGCTTTATCACTGTAATCTCTGCCCCTTTAAGATGTGTACAAAAAATGTCCATATAAATTTTCACTTACGTTGAATGATTTTGAGAAACCTGTAAAGAGGTGAGGAAAATGAAAACTGCAGTTCCCCATAAGTTTTTATAAATTGTATACTGTATTTGTAGTAATATTCTGAACGAACTGTAAATAGGTAGAAGAATAACGCTTATGTCAAGTCCTAACACTACAGTAGAAAAACGGAAGCAATGCAAATAAATTACTTTTTTTCCCAAGTGCTAGTGGCATAATTTAAAATAAAGTGTGTATATTGGAGAGAGTCCTGCTATTATGAAATGGAACTGATATAAATACAGACTAGAATCTTTGGATGACTACTCGGTACAAGTTACAGTATTAGAACATGTTTGAGACTTGCCCACCTGTCCAAAGGTGCATCTTTATGTGTAGAAGCTTCTTTCCACATGCTTGTGGGTTGTTCATCTGCTGGTGGACATGAAGTGACACATCTGCACGTGAACTGCTTTGTCTCTGGCTCGGCAATCTGCTAAGTTTGTGTTAAAGTTTTTCAATGATTTCCAAAGAAAATTTAAAGTATTTTCATCTTCTTTCCAAATTTTTTTCTTCTTTTCCTAAATTAAGGATTGTGAGAAATAATTTGTAGAAATAAGTTTTGTTTTGTTTTTGAGTTTTTTTGAACAGTTAGTCTCCTGAGAGTGAGAACTTGACTGGTAAGAGAACTGAGGAAGTAGTGATAGAAAGAGGAGATGTCATCCCTAAGCCCACAACATACTCTAGGTGAGGTTTTTCAGATTGATTGTTCTTGCATTCAAGACTAGTCACACCTCAATTCAGAGACCGGATTTAGTGATTTTTTTTTTCTCTTCATAATAAAGGCAGAAGTAGAGCTTTTTCTTGTCAATTAGTAGAAAGTGAGATTACTTTTAAAACATCAGAGATTCAGAGAAAACAGAAATAGCTTTGTCTTTTCATCACCTCTTCAGCCCTTGGGGTTTTATAATTTGGAAAAAGTGATATTACATACATGATCTGATGGACAAATCTTGCAACTCTGTGCTTTATTTCATAATTGAGAACTTAGAAAACATTGCAGCTATTCTGAAAAGTGAGTAGAAAAATTTGATGTTACAAAAGCGAGGGCTCAGCCATGTATGACTTTTAAGGGTTAGAAAATATTCAGTTAAATAATATTAAATCATTATGAAAATGAAGGATTCTTAATGTGAGATGGAAAAAAGAAGAAACTTAAGATGACTGTTTTCTTTCCTAATACAAAAGAACAGAATTATAAGAACGGGATATTGGCAACTTAAGTATTTCAAAGAAGAGAAAGGAAACAGACTGTTGAGAATGACAGGATTTGGATACAACTAACCCGGCTCTCAAAAATAAAGGTGAGAAAAAAAATGCAGCACATGTGAAAAAATGAAATTAGATCATTCCTTAATGCCATACACAAAAATAAGCTCAAAATGGATTAAAGACCTAAATGTTAGGTCTTTGTAAAACTCAGAGGAAAACATAGGCAGAGGACACTATGACATAAATCACAGCAATGCCTTCAATCCATCTCCCAGAAAAATAGAAATAAAAACAAACAAGTGGGACATACTTAAACTCAAAAGCTTTTGCACAGCAAAGGAAACAATAAGCAAAATGAAAAGACTACCCACAGATTGGGAGAAAATATTTGTAAATGATGTTACTGATAAGGGATTAGTCTCCAAAATTTACAAACAGCTTATGACACTTAATAGTATCAAAACAAACAACCCACTCAAAAGGCAGAAGACCTGAGTAGACGTGTCTCTAAAGAGGACATACAGATGGCCAGTAGGCACATGAGAAGATGTTCAACACCGTTCTTTATTAGAGAAATGCAAATCAAAGCTACCATGAGAAATCACCTCACACCAGTCAGAATGGCTATCATCAAAAATCCCCAAACAACAAATGCTGGAGAGGGTTAGAGAGAAGAGAACCCTCCCGCACTGTTAGTAGGAATGTAAACTGGTACACGAACTATGGAGAACAGTATGGAGGTTTCCTAGAAAACTAAAAACAGAGCTGCCATATGATCCTGCAGTCCCACTCCTGGGCACATATCCAGAGAAAAACACGACCCCAAAGATACACGCAGCGCAGAGTTCACTGCTGCACTGTTTACGACAGCCGGGACATGGGTACCACCTGAGGGTCCACTGGGCGTTGAGGCGTGGAGCTTACTCCGTGCGCCTGGAGAACCCCGTGGACAGAGGAGTCTGGCAAGCAGTGGTCCACAGGGTCACAGAGAGTCGGACACAGCTGAAGTGATAGCGCACATGCACACAATGTGCATTACAATATTAGCACAAAGGACTGGGTAGGAAATGGAGCTGTACTGGAACAAATAATCTCTTTTACTGGAATTACACTAGCATTAATCTGAAGATTGTGGTTAACTAAAATACTGTAGTCCCTAGAACAACCACTAAAACACTTAAAATACAGTTTAAGAAATCTAAACGGCACACCAAAAAGTTTTTTAACACAGAAGAAGGCAATAATAGAAAGATGGAAATGCAAAAACATATGAGACATTTGGAAAACATAGTAAAATGGTAGCCATAAATCAAATCAAACAATACCAATAATTTCATTAAAAATGACTGGACTAAATATTTGAACCAAAAGACAGAAATTGTTACAATGGATAAAAAAACCAAGACTTAACTATATAGTGTCTACAAGAGAAACTTTGGATTCAAAGACAAATATTACAAAAGTAACAGCATGAAAAATATACACCATGCCAATAGTAACCATAAGCTAGAGCCAGAATGGATATATTGATGTCAGACAAAGTGGGATTGGAAATAAAACTAGAAATAGAGGACATTTCAAATGATAAAGGGTCAGTATGTCAGGGAGATATGTTACTCTACCAAATGGGTTCACTCATGTGAACTAGCTAATCTAGTGACAGCGGGTACTAGTGAAGAAAAGTCCAGTGTTTATTGCAAGGCACCCTCTGTGGGGACAAGTAAGAATGGTAGCTCATGCTTGAATGACCCAAACTCCTTAGTGGATCTTCAGGAAGACAAAGCGAGGGAGAGGGGTCACAGGGTTACTGATCAGCTCATGCACAGTTCTGGTTGGTGAGTGGTGAGCCAACAGGGAGATGTTTGGGGGCTCTCAAACATCAACTTCCTGCTTCCAAGCTGTCTGGAGCCTACATACCTGTGAGAGCATGTAGTTAACTTTCTCCAACTGGTGGTTGTGAAAGTGAAAGTCACTCAGTCATGTCCGACTCTGCAACCCCTGTGGAATTCTCTAGGCCAGAATACTGGAGTGGGTAGCCTTTCCCTTCTCCAGGGGACCTTCCCAACCCAGGAATCGAACCCAGGTCTCCCGCATTGCAGGCGGATTCTTTACCAGCTGAGCCACAAGGGAAGCCCAAGAATACTGGAGTGGGTAGCCTATCCCTTCTCCAGTGGATCTTCCCAACCCAGGGATCAAACCAGGGTCTCCTGCTTTGCAGGTGGATTCTTTACCAGCTGAGCTATCAGAAGTCCTAGACATTAATGTACCTAAAAACCTGCACCTAAAGACAAATATGTGGAGAAAAAAGTGACAGAATTGAAAGGAAAAATGGATAATTCACCAATAACAATTTGAGATTAATACTACATTCTCAATAACTGATAGAACTTGAAAAAAAGCAAAAAAGAAAATGTCATCACCCAACCTGTCCTGACATTTGTAGATCAACCACCACAGCAAAACATGCATTCTTTTCAGCTCCACACGGAACTTTCTCCAGGGAAAGACCACATGCTGTGCTACAAAACAGTCTGAAAGGACCGAAATCATAGACAGTATCAATATATTCTCCAACTATTTGAAATTAAGTTAGGAGTCACCAACAGGTATTTGGAAATATAATGCATTTCTAAACACTTGTGTATTGAAGAAATCAAGGAAAGTTAGAGAATTTTAATGAAGTAAAACAGCATATTGAAACTTATGCAGCTAAAGCAGTACTGAGAGGGAAATTTAGTTTTAAATACCTACACTTGAAAAGATATTTAAATTCCATGAGGATAGATGCAAAAGTCCTTCATACTATTAGCAAACTAAATCCAGCAACAAATAAAAAGGTTTATGCACCAGGACTAAATCGGATATCCTGGGGCTGCAAGCTTGATTTCACATCCAAAAAGTTGTGCTGCTGTGCTGTTAAGTCTGAGTTGAGTCCGACTCTTTGTGACCCCATGGAATGTACCCTGTCAGGTTCCTTTGTCCATGGGATTTCCCACGCAAGAATGCTGGAGTGGGTTACCATTTCCTTCTCCAGGGGATCTTCCCGACCCAGGGACTGAACCCACGTCTCCTGGCCTTCTGCACTGGCAGGCAATGGATTCTCTACCACTGAACCACCTGGGAAGCCCCAGGACGTTGTATACTGTGTTAATAAAATGACAAAACCCAAGTGTTCAGCTAAACAGAGACAAGAAAAGGCATTTGACAGAATTCAGCACCCTTTTGTGATAAAAACCCAAACTAGGAATATAAGGCAATATTCCTCAACCCAAGTGAAGAATATTTTCAACCTATGAAAATCCTACAGCTAATAAACTTAAGGGTGAAAGAGAGTATTTCTCCTAAAATTAGGAGCAATCAAGAATATTCACTCATTTTTATATAACATTGTAGTAGAGGTTCTATCTAGCTCCTGACCTGCCCCCAACCCCCACCAAAGATTAAAGGCATTCAAATTTGAAAGAGTAAAACTATTCACAAATGATATGATCTCCTAAGAACCTAAGGAATCCACAAAAAAACTAACTGAAAAAATTGTAAGGTTGTATGATACAAGATCAATATATAAAAATCAACTGAAATTTCCTGTTAGCAATGAACAATCCTCTTAAAAACTTCCACTCACAATAGCATCAAGAATACAACAATACATTTCATTGAAAAAGTATAAAAACTGCAGAGAGAAATTAAAGATCTAAATAGATGGAGAAACATCTCATATTTTTGGACTAAAAGATTCAATACTCTTATAATGGTAATTCTCCCCCAATTATTCTCTAGCTTCAACCTAATCCCTATCAATAGTCCAGCAGGCTTTTCTGTTTTTTTTTTTTAAATAGACAAACTGATCCTAAAACCTGCATAGAAATGCAAAGTATCTAAAATAGCCAGAATTATTTTGAAAAAGAACAAAATTGGAGGAATTACCCTACCCAATTTCAAGTTTATAAAG